CCTATGTAGGTTTGACCCAAAGATTGTCTGCACCCATAGTACACACATTGATAGCTTATCAGGTGACATCTCCTGAGTCTGGGCCCGTGACATGTGTGTGTCCAACTCTAATAAGCCGGTGGTATCATGATCGATACAAGCAATTCCGGTCGAGGGTCCGTCGAAAATAAGAGGACGATCATCTCACTCTGCTCTTTCCACGTTTTCAGCTTAGTGATCGATTGGTTAGCCTTCTCTAACTTGTTGTACTTGGAAGAGGACGGCTTAAAGCTCTGCTGCGCTGCTTCGAACCATAGGTTCTTTCGTAGATTGGCTGTAAGCAAAATCTGTCCAAACTCTTTCAAAGACCTAGATAACAACGCCAGACTGCTAGTATCGATTGGATCCTTTCGGTCTTTTCGATCAGATCTATATGTCGTTGGTAGTTTGCCTATGTCCTTTATAAACTTCTTGCCTTCCACAGCCTTCTCGGTCTGAATCACTCTTTGTTCTGAACCAATCTTAATCTGGATATACGTAGTCATTGTCATATAACGACTAGCGGCATCAATCCTACCTAGATCCATTGCCTCGAGTGAAGCTGCCTCGGCCTTGTTCATTTGAACAGTGAATTCAGCAATTTTCAGATCCCTACTTGAGTGATCTGATCCCTTCTTTTCTGATTGCATCAGACCATGCAGTCAGTTATCTGCCTCATCCTTTGATCCATCGATCTGTTCAATATTAATGAACGCTTCGGATGGGACAGCATCTTTTGTCGTCTTTGGGATAGCCGCTGGGGGCGAACTGTCTCCCGATGACGACAAGAATTTTCTCGCTTTCACCTGATCAGGTTTCGGCTCTTCCGTCGGTTTGTCCTTCTGAAATATCTCTGGGGCACTCTGTGGATTTCCTTCCGGAAATGAATTTGGATTAGACTCCTGTTCAGATGCCATTCGCGACATTGCTGTTGCGTCCAATTCAGGAGAGGGATGAGTTTCGGGTGATGAAGATCTGATTCTGTTTGCCTCTCCATTGTCTGACAACATCTCGAACGCCAATATGACTTTATAGAGTGCCAAATAGTTTGATATCAAGTCGGGAAGATCTACCAGAAGATCCCGAATTGCGTACCAAATTAAGTATGCAAAACTTACATCTCCCCTAGTTCCGAATACCTCCGGCAGTATCTTTTAAAACTGACGGAAATTTTTGCGTACTTGCTTACCGTCGTCAGTTTTCATTTATTTTAGCCGTTTGTAATATTTGTTATCCCTAAACAAATCGTATCCAAACTTTCTTACCGCTGCATTCATAACATACCTCGGTGAGATAGTACCATCTAGTTTGGTCTTCAATACGTCCAGAAAGAACGTTCCATACGTATTTCGAAACAACCATGCCCTGTTGGCCCGCTGTCGGATCAACTCTCGTTGACCCTCCTCCTGAAGATCAATCTGTGCCTGGTATGAATTGCCCAGATCAAAGTTCTGTCGCCAAGCCGATCGGAGTGGTGTTTTGGGTATACGCAGGAATTGTGAGGCAATCCTGCTGCCCGAATCGTCGTCATGACGGTGAAATGTCTGGTCCACATCATCCGGACCTATATCCACGAATCGCATTTGTTCTTCCGATACGTTGATTTGGGGTTGATCCAACAGTGCTGTTGGCGCATCCTCCGAGTCATCCTTCCCTGATTCGTCCTGACTTTGATCCTTCGCTGCGGCTTGCTTTTTCTTCCGCTGCTTAGTAGGTCTCAAATCATGTACCATTGGTAGGTAGTTCTTCAGGAAGGCTCTCCTATCTCTTGCTATCATGTGATAAGTAGGATCTCGCCTACGTGCTTTGCGCGTATCCACTGATGGAGATGGTACATCTGATTCCAGTGCATGTCGGACTTCCTCTGAAGTTGAGTTGCCCGAGGAATGCGTTTTCTCGACCTTTCCCTTTCGAGATCTCGCCTTCTTCGCTGGTGGCTTCTGTGGCTCCGTAGTCACATTACCTCCGGATGCACCTATACCTGAGTCAGCCAACTACTTACGTTTTTGTTTAGTCGGAGTTGGTACTGGCGGTCTCGGCGTGATCTCAGATACGTCAGAGTCCACTGATGATGCCGGGGGTGTTTTTTTGCTTTCCATCGCCTCCAGTAAACCAATTTACTTTTGCAGCCTTAGCTACATTCGCTGCCTTCTTGTTACTTTTCGTCATAATATCGATAGCGTACATAAATTTAAAAATATGTAAAAGTCGGTCTCCTCTAGGCTGACTATACGATATCAATACGTTTACGTTAATAAGACAATACGATAAACGTTAAAATGCAAAATGTTAAAAATAAGTTTAGCTTCAGCCCTTGGTAGTGAGCAAAAGATTAGGGGATTATAGACTGAGACTATTGTCTATATGCTCTGCTCTAATCACTCACTACTTCGGCCTAGATTTATTTATGTTTTAGTTACTAAGATTAGATATCATTTCATTGGACGCATATTTACATTTCACGCCTCGAAACAATTATCTACTCAAAATAACCAATAAAATAATCCCTAAGTCCAACTTAAGAAAAGAAAAAAGGAAATCAAAACACCAAGCTGGTGCAGTATATATCTGCAGCTAAACCCCATCACTTGGTACCTAGCTCCCCATCCCATATAAGGCATAGACGGGCACATCTAGTTGGCTGGCTAGGAGGAATCAAAACCAGGTTGTCCTAAATTCTAACAACTCTGATCATGTCCTTTTCTCAGTGGATTATCTTGCTCTGAGATTATTATCGATTATACCATAGGTTTGTACCAACAACCATTTCATGCCTGAGACCCTCTCTCATGGTACTCCCGTTAATTAGAGATTCTCAAGGTGTCACTTTCAGGTGTCAGATTTGTATCATTCCTATATTCTGTACAAATCTAATTTCAGTGGAAAAAAACCAATCTATATTTGGAAAACCACCTAATTGTCCACAGTAAAGTCCCATACTCTACTGAGTACTATCACATATTCAGAATCTTAATATCTCAATTATTGTTCATGTCCAATACATTAAACGTATTCCAGTATTATAAGTATAAACGATAATACGTCAATACGTTTATAATATACGTTAACTGTGCAACTACTATTAGGAACCCGCTGATGCAGGTAAAGTGGCTGGTGGTGAACTTGTGGCTATCCGGGCAGACAGGGCAGAGACAGCCGTCGGTGCGGTAGTCGAGCATTAGTGATGGCATCAGCGACTAGAGGGTTATTTTGAAAACGGTATGTCAAGCCAAGATGAGGAGTCTATTTAAGATACTGGAGTACGCGAAGGCCAGCTTGCCAATGTTGCTATAACGGGTTGTGCATGTAGCGTGCAGCAATGCGTGTCAACACCGAGGATATTGTTATGTATCAATGAGTTCTCGGTATGCACATTTAAATGCAGAACCGGTGCTTTGAGAAACTGGGTCCAATGTGGCGAATGTAGGAGCGGGATGGCAGTTTGTCATGTCGAATCTCGAGGGCTTTCTTGATCTTATTATCTTGTCTGAGACTGATAGTGTCGTGAGTTGTGAGGACACGAACACTTATTTGCCTTTGCAGGTCGCCGAGATCCTTACAACTAAATTCATGTTAGAGAAGAGACTAAACGCCGAGATAAAATTGATGGTGTTACCACAGAAGAATGTTTCCGGGTTTGCCATAAATAGGCAAAGGTCTGAAGCAGCTTGAACAAACCCCATGGCAAGAAGTTTAGATCGGATGAGTTCGTGCCATAATCGGCTCAGCAGTTTCAGGCCGTATAAACTTTTCTTCAGTTTCATAATTTGATCATCGGGGAGGCCGGTGGTGAACGAGCCAGAGGGGGTTTTATGTAGATTGACTGGTCGATATTAGCATAGAGATGAGCGTTGTCGACGTCGAGTTGTTCGGCATGTCATCCGGCAGAGACGGCAATGGCAGGTAGATGCATATGTCTCGTTGTAGTTAGGCAGAATTCGTGTTTTCGACTAAACCATCGACCATTTTTATCCTACATATCCATTTCCTAGTGACAGTGAAAGCGTCGTCGTGAATGTCATCAGGATGAATGAGTTCACAGTACATGCCGGCCCTACGAAGACTATCGAGTTCACGTTTGAATGATTCGCGCCAAAGATCAGCATCTTCCCCCTTTATGGCGGCACGGAGGGTAGTTGGGGTAAGTGGATTGGAATGTGCGGCATTACCGCCAGTGTAGAGTTTGTGAACCGTTCCATCGTAGAGCGCCTGTTGATAGGAATAAAATTATTTATTTCTAAAAAGATAAGATACAATGTATGTATGTTACAATATATGGCTCTCATAGCCGTTGTAGTGGTTCGGGAAAGATCGATGGGAAGAAGTGGTCAGTAAATTCCCGTTTGAAGCTTGGGCCAATTGAGTCGACGATGGTGGATATGCGCTGAGTCAATTCGGGCCGGTGCTGACAAAACACTGATACCATCGAATGTACCATGTATTCGCTTGCTGACCTACTAAGTAGCGTACCCACCTCTGTGGTACGGATCGGGTCTGCGCCGTGTAGTGCCGTGGAATGTGTTAGTGCAGAGTGCGAAATACCGAGTAGGACCATGTTATCCGTCATAATTCGGTCAAGGAGCGAGGATGGGGATGAGCCAATGCCGTACCAGACCACAACGTTTGGGCACTAGAGGGTAAAGAAATGTGAGTGTTGATTGGAGTGGCGAGATCGTGTATGTGGTCGTCTTAATCAAGGATGTTCGAGGCTGTGGAGAGCGGCACTGGTGGTGGTACGAGCATGTTGAAGAACATCTCGTCTGTACTGTTTGTCGGCTTTGTATTGTTTATGAGCATGTTTAACATGAGCTAATACTCGCTGATATTTATCGCGCAGGGTGAGTTCCTTGGACGTGGTGTCCATGGAAGCGTCGGAGAGTGAGGAAGAATGAAGATAGTGAACGTGACGATAAATGTTCTAGAGATCTGTAGCCCAAGTGACGTTTGGAGAGCGTGTGGGGGGAATGTTGAAAGGCGAGATATCACTGGATTAAGGGAACGGAGGGCTCCCCTGGCTGCTGAGGGGTGGGAAGTGTGGAAGTAGGCTTCCCTGATTGCTGCGTAGCGGGTGTCATAGAAGGTACCCTGGGTGACTGTGTGGTGAGTAGGGGACCGTCCCCTGGTTTCGTGACATCTGTGGGGGTCAATAGCTTCCCTGGTTGCATGACACCGGTGGGTGTGGAGGGAATGTGTTGTGCCACTGGTTGGTGAAGGACGGGGAGTGTGAAATTAGGCTCCCCGGGTTGCTGCGTAGCAGGTGTCATAGGAGACACCCTGGGTGGCTGTGTGGTGGGGTTAGGGGACAATTTCCTGGTTGCGTGACATGCGTGTATCTAACGAGCGCGTTGACGAGTGATGCGCACGTTGCCCGGTTTGAAGAAGGCCCTTTAAGGTACGGGATGTCCGGTGTTTAGCAAGGTGGCTGGCAAGCAGGTTGTTGATGATATTTTCTAAAGAAGGGACAGAGGTAGTGATCGAGAAGGAAGGTGTGGGGAGAAGTGGGGTGAGCGATGGTGTGGGAACTGGCGTGTGTGTAGGAAGGGCATAGTCGGGATGTAGAGGAGATATTGGCGGAGAAGTGATGGGAGCAGGGTGAACGGTGGTGGCCTGGAGTGACGGGTGTTGGAAGTAACGGTGCAGTGCTGTTGGAAGAGGATGGTGTAGATATGGTATTAGGGTTGAGTTGGAGCGAAAGTGTAAGTTTGCGTATGGTGGGGACATGGCGGACGGGGTATGGAAAAAGGGACTGGCGTCGTCCCAGCCATGGTCCACGTCGGGAAGAGTTCTTAACATCGCGGGAACGGCATTTTTTCTTCTTCCATACTTTAGACTGAGAATGAGGAAATCGTCATTGTACCTGGATGAGCGATCGTGACCGAGGTATACGCCGAGTATTGTGGGGTCATCGAGTTTGCCCTGTTGGTCCTGATTCACGAATGCGACTTGACAACCATATACATGTATGTTCTTAAGGCGAACGGTGGGGAATTCGCCGTAAAATATTTCCCGGGATGGTTATTGGTCAGAGTTGTGCTTGATAAGTTGGTCAGTCTTAGTTATAGTCTCGAGTAGAATAGCTTCAGCCCACATACATTCGTGTCGTTGAGCATTTTTGAGCATGTAGTTCATGATGTTCTTGATACTGCCGTTGGTGCGCTCTATCAAGCCGTGAAGGACAGGGGAGTTAGTGGGGATAAACGTGACCTTAATGTGAGACAGGGTATTGATACGTTGGGAATTCTTGAGAGATAAAATCGCCGCCCTGGTCGCACTTAATTTCGGTGAATTTACTGAGATATGTTTTCCCGATATCGGTATAAAACTGGGCCAATGTGTGGTACGCATCATTCTTGATCCTGAGTGGGTAGACGAACCACGTACTTGATGTTAGATGTGTACCCATTGAGAGAGGAGGAGAGGCCAGTTCTAAATCTACGTGAAAGACAGTACCGAGAGGTGGAAGATAAGTGTGGTCTTTGTGGGTGTGCGAGATAGGCTCGCTGACGCATTTTGCCTGTACCACAGGGTGTGCAGAAACTCAGCGGACGAGGGTGAGCGAGAACATCGGCTTCGGCGGACAGTAGCTTGGTAATGGGCGGGACAGCAGATGTAGTGTTGCCAACACGTGCGATGTTCAACATGTGAATTGAATTGGAAGAGAGTTTGTATATAGTTGCGTGTGTTTGGTGTGAGAGGAAACACCATGGTGATGAGGACGTTTTCTCGTTCGAATTTGAGAAGTGTCTTTCGCCATGTTGGCTTGCGAAAAGGAATGTTACCATACAAGTGTTTGTTGTGTTGACGCCATGATTGCGTGAATATATCGTGTAAGGGTGTGCCAGGGTCGAGACTGCAGTATCTGGGAACCTGAGCGTTGTGAGCCGTAGCGAAAAGGTCGATATCAAGCGGTCCAAAGACATCAACTACATATGTTTGGAAAAGGTCAGAGTGGAGTTTCTAGTCGTCATATGAAGGTGAAGGTATCGGAGATGGTGTGATATTGCTGTTGTGTAGGATGCCGCATTTTGACATCCGGATGTGCGTGACCAAGCATTGTATGCCAGTTGGCGAGTGTGTGTGTACTAAGTGGGGCTAGTGCGTGTTGGCCGGCAGTGTTTTGGACGCGATTGATAGTATGACCGGCTTGTTGGATATGGCATTCGGTAGGTTATGATTCGTCGACCGCAGGTGGAAAGTAAATAATGTAGCGTGACGTTGAAGGAGTTGAACGGAGAGTATACTTTGGGTGTCTGTGGGCATGATGAGGACGCGGCCAAGACCTGGAAGAAGGCCGTGTTGGAGTAGAGTAATTTGCCTTTTGTCAGGGAACTCGACGATAAAATTGCCGTGTTCGAAACTACTAACGCCGAATGTGGTAGCGCGGATATGTACCATGGCCCCAGAGTCGATGAGGGATGCCCAGAGATGATCAGCGGTTGAGGGTCCAGTTGTAGCTGTCTGTAGAGTATGAAGACGATAGCGTCTAACAGGCGGAGGTATAAAAGACTTGGTACAGTGGGAGTGTCGAGTAGATGGTATGTGAACCACCGGTTACAGGGGCGCCGTAATAACACTGCATGCATGCAGTATCGTTAGGACCAACACGGGTACATTTGCTATATTTGAGGTAAGAGCGGTCGACACCTGGTACAGTGGGAGTGTCGAGTAGATAGTATGTGAACCACCGGTTACAGGGGCGCCGTAATATCACTGCATGCATGCAGTATCGTTAGGACCAACACGGGTACATTTGCTATATTTGAGGTAAGAGCGGTCGACGGGACAGGTGCGACCGATGTAGTCGTGTGATGGCCAAGGGTCAAACATAGGGAATATTTGCGTTCATGGTGTGTGCTGTGGGGAATCTTGGTGTGAAGGATGTTGAGGCTGGAAGGAATGGGCTGGGCGATAAGATGATGGTCGCCTTCAAATTTCAAGGTGAGGTGATAGACTTCCTCCAGACTGATTGTATCCGTGCCCTTGGCAAATACTGTAGAACGTAGTAGGTTATAGTTATCGCTACGACTGTATAATAAAGCACAGATAAAATACTTATCTGGTATTACTTCACCCACGTCGAGTAACTCTTGGCGTATTTCCTCGAGTGTTTGCATGCTTGTTTCAGTAGAGCCCGTAGCAGTGAAGTATGTTAAGCGTTTTATACCATCTCAGAAGCGACCATGGCTGCCAGTGTTATTAGTGATGCAGATGTAATTGAAGAACTCAGAGAGGGATTTAGAAATGTGACCCTTGTAGACGGCGTTGATTAATTTATCACTAATAGAGATATTGAGTATGCGACGGTTTTTGGCATCGGCGAGCATGTCTGCGCCTTCACCGATGGACGTCATGACATCGAGAATATAGACTATGCAGTGTACCAAAATGTTCATGTTCCATTTTGAGACCAGTGTACCAGATGCCAAAATCGGCGTACCCTTTTGTAGTTCGTTGTCTTTATATTTTGGACATTCGGAGGTGGGGAGGTCACGTTGATCAGGCTGGACATCGTACAAGGACCGTGGTTCATGAGGCATACTTTTACTTTGCTTCTCGTTAGTTTCGAGGTATTCGACATCAGCTCGTTCCTTCACGTCTCCAACATTCTCAGATCCATTCACGAAAAATAGTGAAATAGGTTAAATCGATGAATACAGACAGTGCATGTATGTTTAAAATCAACCTCAAGTTATGCGTTTGTGGCTAGCTCAGAGCTGATCATACCTCCAATTCGTGGAGCCTTTTCGATCATTGTATCCTTCTTCTGGGCAACAGATTTTGCTTTCTCGTGATCATAATCTAGACAGTGCGTGTGCGAAGCTCTAAGGATATCTGGCTTAGACTGGATCGATGTGTAAGCGCAAGGCAGCACCGTTTATATGAGTGATACAGACATTTTTATTATTATAGCGATTATCATCTTGCATGTGTTTGTGTTTCTGCACTTTAGACAAATTACACTCTCCATGGGTCCCAGTGCATGTGTGTAAAATTTCAACGGATGAATTTTTTTTAGGGTGGGTGATCAAAAACCCAAACCCTGCCACCCCCAAGTTAGGGTAATTAGAAAACGATTAAACGTATGCTACTATTAACTACCCCGCAAGGGTAGTGGAAAGTGGGGTATCTCAAATATAATTACTTTTTACAATTTAACATGTTTTTTTAACTCAACGTTTAGTACGATATAGTCGGTTTGGATAAATAAACATTCTAAGTTTGATTCCTGTTTAAACTATGACGAATGCAAAGGGATCGGCTAAGGCTTCGAATTTCTCGTCATGGAGGACTAAGGTGCTGAGGTCGCCAGTATTTAATTTCTTTTCACAGTTCAATATAAATATTTTAACTCAAATATTCAGTACGATATAGTCAGTTTGGTTAAGTAAACATTCTAGGTTTAATCCCTATTTAAACTATTGCCAAGGTCGCCAGTATTTAATTTCTTTTCACAGTTTAATATAAATGTTTTAACTCAACGTTCAGTATGATAAAGTCAGTTTGGTTAAGTAAACATTCTAAGTTTAATCCCTATTTAAACTATGACGAATGCAAAGAAACCGACTAAGGCTTCGAATTCCTCGTCATAGAGGACAAAGGTGCCGAGGTCTACGGTAAAAATATGAGACTGATAATGATATCAGCCAGTTTACGTCTACTACGTCTATATATAT